TATATATTTATATATATAGCTATCCCAACTAGCGCAGTGGCACTATAGCACCACAAGAGTTCATATATTCAAGCTACCGGTATTATTAGCTTTGCCTAGTAACATATCAAATTCTCTACACCATTCGATTTCTAAGAACCCCTAGATTCAGAATATTATATACTTTGCTGAGCAGTTCTGCTTACATGAGGAGAAGTAGCTATTTTTTAAGCCAGCTAAAAAAGCGCAGAGGCGCTCATTCAATACATTGTATCACTACAGATCAATGCATACATTACTATACCGCAATACGGATTAACAACTTCAAAGTAACTCTCAGGATTACCCGGTAACATATGAATTTATTTACGCCATTCGATTCCTCAGAACCTCTGTTTTCAGAACAATATATATTGTACCGAGCAATAATGATTACATGAGGAGATACGGCTATTTTCGCCTTTCTGCAGGGGTTGCCATCTTGGAGCCTACCATACTCTCAGCTTTGCACTGTAACATTCGAATATTCGTACACCATTCGATCCAGTGGAATCTCTAGGTTCAGAAAATCATATATTTTGCCGAGTGATTTTGCTTTCTTGAGGAGATATAGATATTTTCTTAAATCAGTCGAAATAGCGCAGTCGCGCTCGTTGATATGCATTGCATTATATCACTATGGATCAACATCGATACATTACTATGGCTCTATAGAGGTTACCATCTTCAGGCTAACCATACTCTCAAGTGTGCCTGGTAACATGTAAATTTCTTTACACCAATCGATTCCTCAGAACTTCTGGTTTCATAATATCATATATTTTGCCGAGAAATTATCATCAGACGAGGAGATAGCTATTTTTCAATGATATACGGTTTCCCGTCATCGAGTCTACTGTACCCTCAAGTTTGACCGATAACACATGAATATTTGTACATCCTTCAATCCATTGGAATCTCTAGATTCAGAAAATCATATATTTTGCAGAGCGATTTCGTTTATTTGAGGAGATATAGCTGTTTTATTTAAGGCATCTCAACTGCTCATTCGTATACATAAGATAACTATAGATCATTACATACATTACTATGGCGCTAAAGGGGTCACCATATTCAAGGTGCTCTCCGATTTTCCCAGTAATATGTCATTTTCCGCACACTTCCAGATTCTTCAGATTCTCTGCTTTTAGAAAAGTTATATTTTGTAGGTACATCATAAATGTGATCATAACTGTGCTCTATTTCAATTCTATCGATCTGTCAATAGTACCACACCAGTTGATCATTGTAGATCATGTCGAAGTGACTGCCTTACTCATAACCTTCATATTATCATTTAGCAGTCGTTCTCTTCTTTCGAGTTGTTCTGTGCGATGTAATGTGTGATGTAATTTACGATTTTATTTCGTTCATGATTTTTATAGTGCAATTCATCATTGCGGCAAAAATATTTTGGGTCCAATACCCACCTAATTTTTCAACTTTATTAGTATCATTCTATTTTTTTAATAACTTAATTAGTATAAGCCTAGAAAAGATCGTTCGGGTGCAATCTTTTAAACATGGTAATATTTGCAGGGTAGGTGATATTTTATTAAATCATCACCATCGCTATATCATTTTCGAACGTTGATAACGTGTGCGACTAATTTATTGATGACAAATATGTTATCAGTACCGAACTACTTATGATGAAAACTGCGAATTATTTTAATATTGTTTCAGATGTGCATATGGAGATGAGCGAACGAGCGAAAGAGCGAACAGACTACGGTAGTGAGCATTGGTAGCAATCTTCATAGTGATTGGTCAGATTCAAGGGCAACGAAGCACAGTAACTCCAACCTAAGGTGGGGAATTAGATCATTTTTGTGATGATATTTTTTGTGATTTTTCGTTTTTTTTTAAATTGGTGGTTTGAAATGACTTAGTGGTCAATCAGTCTGTTACCTTCTCGTGATGTGAGATGAATTTACCATATAGTGAGTATGAATACTCTCTATTAAATGTGTTGACGTCTATGAAACAGTTTTATGATAACAGACGTAATATTAACAGAGGCGTTGGTATTTTTGGTATATGTTATCAGTAAGATAGTACTGTAGCAATGCGATAATTGCCTGAAAATGATACATCTTGTCAGCATTGAGCCGTCATCCAATTCTAGCTGGAGTAGACTTGATGCTGCCGACGGTTCCAACCGTACCTCTCTTTTTTGATGGATGGTTGTGGATGACGACGCTCGACAGTCAAGATGGTAGCAGCAACAACATATATTAAGAGCACGCAACATTTATTACATCAAGGAAGCAACAATATCAAAATCAGCATCGGAATCACAACAATCGTATGAAAAGAAGCGAATGATATGACACGATAGCGTGTGGAAGCGCAGGGTTAGGAGTTAGGAGTTTCCTTTTCACTAGAATTTGAATAAATGATCGGGAGTTGAAAAACTCATTTTTTACTATTTATTTTCACTTCTATTAGAACTGAAGGACCGAGAATAAAATTAAGTCGTTGCTTTATTCCTTTATTCTTTTATTCTGTTTTTTTAATGCTTTATTCTTTTATTTTTTTTTGCATGCTTTATTCTTTTGTTCTTTAATCTATTTATGAAAATTGTGAATTGTAATTGTGAATGTTTGTAATGTGGATAGTGAATCTGAGAATGTTTGAATAATATTGTAAATGTTTGTATATATAGTTAGGTACTTGTAAATGGTACTTTTTTGAAACTGACTTGTTGAAATTAGATGACAATACAGTGGTAAATATTGATGTGCATTGTTCAATGTTATGAATATTATTATTGTCAGTCGAACATGTTTCTGATGATGTTAATGATTTCCCGTATGTTTTAACTGAGGGGATTTTTTAGTGCATTTCAATTCGGTTGTTAATATCATTTGCGCTATCATTGTATTGTTATTATTGTATTACCACTGTATTGTCATGGGCTGAGCTGTTTAGCGGGCGATAGATTAGCGTTACCAACCAATTTTCAAGAATATCCACAAATATCTACTACCCTTTAGGATGGAATTTTTGTATATAAGTTTATTTATTTATTATAACGTATAATGTATTGTATATGTACTGTATGTGTATTATAATATATATA